ACTGACAAAATGTGTTTTCCTGTGTCTAATCGAAAATACCTGGGTAAGTCTGGCTGCTATCAGGAAACATCCCAAAAATCACTCTAGGTTGTCAGCACATCAATATTCGGGGATGGAGCACCAGCCATGTCTGTTGCCTTTGGGGATTCACAAAGTCCAAGCCTGCTGGTGAAGCTGTTACTCACAGGATTCATTCCCTTTTGTGGCCATTGTTCCTCTCAGGAACAGAGGGGAAAGTTTTGCATAACAAAGAATGTCAGAACACGCTCCAGAAAGAGATCAGTGCCAATCCCATCACCTCATTGCAAAGAAATAATTGTAGCTCAATAAAACAATTAAAAAAAAACAACGAATGCAACCCATAGAACAGCATCTGTCATCAAAAGTGTTTCAGTGGTACTTGTAACTGCTGCAGAGCTGCAGGCTGATTGCCCTACTGTCCCTGTCACAGGACTCCAGTTGACACCAATTACCAAGGCCCTTTTGAAAGACTGCATTGAATGTCACCTTCTTTGAAGAGGACCTGCTGCTTACCTGTGGCTAGCATTAGCAGCAGAGCCCTCAGGCTCTCCAGCCCACACTTTCCCACCTTGTATGCAGGAGTGACCAGCTTTCAGCCACTGCTTTAGCAGCTGCATTTCCCATGCTCCTTTTCTGTCTCCCTTCCTATGGCATCAATCAGGCTGGGCTTCTTGTCATGCAAGGCTAAGCCCAATGCCTCAGACTATGCTGCCACCCCCCTACTTACCTATCCTCAGGTATGGTAAAGAAATAAAAATTAGCAAATAGAACTCTACCCATGGCCTTGGCCAGCCTATAAAGGTGTAATAGCTCAGCCTACAGCTCAGAAGATATAGACCAACCTATACTTTTATCCCATATCTACCTACTGTATGATCTGTCCTGAAAGTTAAATCATAATTACCTTTGAAAGAGGATGGGTGTTGAGGAGAAGTGGGCAGGAAACAATAAATGGTTGGAAAAAAGTAGTCACGCAAGTAGCAAAGGAAGGAGCCAAATTATCCCGAAGGCCAGCTCAACCCAACTAGCTTTCGCTGGCCCGCTTTTCGGGATCCCAGGCCCTGGCCAGGTGAGCTCACAGTGGTCGGGCAGGTGCCGCATCACTGTCCCTCAAGCCATGCGACCACGTAGCCACCACAGCCCACGCACCTCCTGCAGTTGGCAGCCAGCAGCTGCTGGGCTTCCCCACATGCTGCTGGCAAAGGGCTGTTCGTCCGCTGGCAGAGCTCCTCCTCTTCCCCAAGCCACACAAGCCAGATGAATAAAAACGTGCCCTATGAGCATTCCTGCCACAAGTGACATCACAAGCACCCGCACAAGCCAGGTTCTCATGCTTGCCCAGTCAGCTACTCAGCCAGCAGTGACATCACGAGAACCTGCACAAGCCAGGTTCCCATACCTGCCCTATCAGGTACTCAGCCACAACTCGTAACAACCCCACGCAACCCTACAGGCTTGGGAAGAGTGGCTGGAAAGCTGCCTGGCGGAGAAGGACCTGGTGGTGTTGGTTGACAGCCAGCTGAATATGAGCAGGCTACATCCTCACTCTTTCGACAATTTTAGCTGAAATTTTCAGCATTACCTCTTGCCAGTCTTCTGCACTAAATTAAAATCCATTTTAGATCATGTCAGAAGAATGCCAGTACCATAGGTTATTAAATCCTACAGCTACAACACCTGGAGAAAACTACCTGGACTAGAGTACACTCATCATATTAGCCAAGTACCGAAGTCCACGCTTCCATTCTGCAGAGGAAAGGGCTTGTTTCTCTGAAGTAATTGTTCTTCTAGTAATCTGACTCAGATTATACAAATGAAAACCACACTTGGACAGTCAGAAGCAAGCTTAGCTCTTTAAGGAGAGTCATGCTTTTGATAGCATATGTCCATACGTTCCATGTGGTTTGCTCAAATTTTTATGGTTTTAATATTTTGTACCTTCTGTGACAACTGGTTTGCTGCTAGATAACTTTATAAGTGAGATTTGATAAATGATCATATATTAACATTATAATTGAAACAATAGACAAAAGTGTAGCCAAGCAATTAACTAGTAGAGGTAGTTACTCATAAGTTTTGCAGTTCTTTGCTCTTATGACTAGATGTTCCTGTACGCTAGATGAGAACAATGTTGAAACTGACCACATGTGATTGAAACTGCGTTAAGCTTCAAGATCAAAGAACAAGGACAAGAACAAAGACTTCAAGGACAGCCAACAGAATCTCAAATGGGTCAGTGGTCGTAAAAGCAGCCCTTTGACTCAAATGAATTCTTCATTGCACATGATCGGATGTAGGCAGTACTATGATAATCAGTTACAATAATTTTTATGTATATGTATACTAATCTGATTAATATGTAATTGTTACTCCAAATAACCTCTTTGTGCTGAAGCTGTGACATGCATGCTAGGTGGAATTATTCCCCGTGCATCCAACGCTGCAATAAAGAATGCCTGCTTTCTAAAACTCCAAAATCAAATCTTAGAGAATTTCTTTGACCGGCTTTTCAGTATCACTTCTTTGGGGGCACAGTCGTTAGCAAGGCATGCCTTGTGTGTACAAAGGGTATCTTATGTCACAAGACCTTTGTGGTCTTCTTAAGTACATCATGCCTGCGAAAGAGTCTTTAGGAGATTGTGATCCATCCCTTGGCTCTCTGATGGGCAATGAAGAGTTTGAGAAAGTCATGGATGTTTTTGATGTTCCCCAAAGCAGTTTGTTCCTAGGCATCTTCTAGCCAGAAGTTGAATATTTACAGCCAGATTTTACATCAGCGTGTGTACAGTGCCGAGGAACCCTTTTTTTCCTGCACGATCTTTGTGCACATGGAGCTGTGTGTGTGGAGTGCGTGGATCTGTGTTTGTGTGTGTGCGTGTGTGCAAAGGGTGTGTGCCTGTTGTCTGAGAGCAAAAAAAAAGGGCTTTGCTGGGCCCTTTCTGAGGCTCTGTCCCTGATGGGGTCCCTGCCCCGTGACCGTGTGCTCCAGGGTCCCTCTGTCACTACAGAAGGGGAAGAGTCAGGTCACATCCTGGCTTTGGGAAGTAGCTTCTCCTGCCACCCTACAAGCAGTTGGGTGGCAGAACTGAGCAAGGGCAGTGCCAGAAGCTGGGCACTGGCAGCCTGGGAAAGGTTGGGGGGTTGGAGTAAATGTGAGCTGTTTGGTGCACCAGATGATGGCCCCCACCATGGTACTCCCTAAGAAGAACTAGCCCCTTTTAGAGTGAGACTTGAAATGCAGCTTATCAAGAAGGTTATTGCATAACTTTTGTATTGCAACACACTTTTAGGAAACTAATAATTCCTCCATTGACTAACAATAAACACACTGTTACCGAAATTCTCTATAAGACTTGGTTTGGGAGTTTTAGAAAGCAGGCATTCTTTATTGCAGCGCTGGGTGCACAGGGGATCGCTCCACCTATTGTGCACACCGTTACCTACAGCAAACAAAATTTATATTGTTCTAGTCATATACATATTCATGTTATCATTTACATAGTGCTCCCCCCCTTTGGGCATGCACAGTGTGAGTCATCTTTTTTTCCTAGTTAGCTGGCCTTGGCAAGTTTTAATTACAAAAACTCAGCAGAACCCAAAGCTTATCATCAGGGCCCAAGTCTTCTTGCTTGTTGATGCGCATCAGGCCCCAAGGCCTCCTGTTGGTGCCTTTAGCACATACCATTGACAAAGCTCAAGGTTTTCTTATCTAACTAGTACATACCAAAATTTCAAAGTTATTCAAGCAAGAAAAAGTTCGTCACTACAGCGATACAGTGAAGTTTTCCTTCTCATGCATTTATTCAAGGCATCAACACCACCGTTGCTCATAGTATCACTTTGCCAGGATATCACTGCAAGTAATACTGAGTTCCAAGTCTATCGTGTAGGATACACAGTTATGTTACCATAGGGAAATCTCATAAGTCACCCACACCATTAATCTGCTATCCTGCTGCACTCAGTATCAAGGTATAAGCCTGTTCCTCCATTCAGGTTCATCCCTCCCTAGTCCAACCTTCCATACCAGGTCTTTTGGACACAGGCCTGGTGGAGAGTCTGGTGTGGTGGCCAAGACGTCCCTCCCTCTAGTGTTCCAGACCACCTGGGTGCACAGGTCAGCCTCACCACTGTCCACAGGCATTTGCACTTCTACTCTTCAGCAAATCCCCCTGTTCTTTCTTCTCTGCCTGATTTTACACTTTATTCTCCCTTTGTCCTTTCCCTGCACCCAACTTTTTGCCACTTCTGCTCCTTCTTTTCTCTTCCCAGATTTGTCCCATATAGACCAAGTACCCCTACTGCCTTTTTCTCATGGTCTCAGTTCTGTTACACCTGTATTCAGATTTGGTGTTTCTGACACGGTTACTTAAGTAACTTTGGCCCAGTAGTATATTATTGATATTGTCATCAAGATGAGAGTGGCCTTGCATTGCAGTACTTCCTTCTGACTGTACTGCTCACGCTTGTTACACTTTGTCTATATCACATGTTTTCTGGACAGATTTAGCTTATAGTAGCCTGCCTAATTCCAATTAAGCACAAGTCAGCGTGCATGCCAAAGCAGCAATATAAATCATTTTGGGCTCAAACCCTACCTTTGCCCTTCCATAGCTTTCATCATACTGCTGGCTGCCATCAAAAGCTGTGACTGGTTTTGAGGCCTGGTGTTGCAGCTTGACATCCTGCTCACACTATTTGGGAATGCTAACAAACTTCTCTTCTCTTTCAGACATTATAAATCATAGTTTAAAAGATGAATCAACATACAGTGATGAGGAGTCACTGTCAGGCTTTGAAGATGAGCTACTCATCAAATGCCTAGTAGACAGGTAAATGCCTCTGTCTGTTCAAATTCTTCAGACTTCTGGGTCTTTGTAAACCAGAGAGATCCAGAGACTGTTAGGGCATGTGTATTCCTTACAAGACTCAAGAAAAAAAAAATAAATTATTTTCTGTCCATTGAGTTAAAAAAATCTCTATGGATTTGTGTAGCCATCTTGCCCTTCCAGCTGCTCAGGTTGTTGAAGAGGAAACTGCAGGCCAAATATGGGGTTGAGAAGAGTGGATTTCCTTGTGCTCTGCATCCCCAACACAGCTAGCACCAGCACCCTGGACTTGCCCCCCAGCTTGATGTGGAGTTGAGCCAACACATCAGGCACCCACTGGTGGAGGCTTCTCCATCCACCAGCTCCATGAGAAATCCCTTCCAGCTTCAGGTCAGCTGCCCTATCTGGGAGTTGGACAAGTTATCTCTGGTCCTGACATTTCTTTTCCTTGGGCCATTGAACATTCAGCCTTATAAAACTCCCCCAGCTCCCACATGAAAAGCCTCACCCCTAAGGAGCTCTCCAAAATGTCTTTATTGAGCATGATTAGCAACTTCAGGTTATTCCCTGATTGCTCATTTTCCTGTTTGTATTGGGCATTCAGCTAGAAAAGCTTCTCCCTGGCAATGTGATCCAAGTTGAATTTCAGCTATTTCAGGAAATAATGTTTTCCCACTGTGGAATGCAATCCTACTGTAGCAATAAATTACATCAAACCAGGGGCGAGATCATAGTGCTTTTGCTGTCTACATAGGTTCTGCATTTTCTCTGTCAGCTGAGATTTGTAATCTTCAGTGGCAACGTCTCCCAGCTTTCTCTGCGGCACAGCTCTTTCTCCACTCTGGCCAAGTTCTTCCAGAGCTCACCCTGCAACTGCAGTGTCTCCTGCTTGTCCTTTCCCATATGTGCTATTCCAGAACTGATCTCTGTGGTCAGTTTGCTTCCAGTCTTGACATTTTTCACAATCATTGCCCACCAAGATCTTCAGATCATATGCCACCTCGGCCATGCTCTCAATGCTCCCTCTCCTTTGGAATTGCTGAGTGTGCCTGCTATTGTGTACTGGAGGCCTTTATCAAATCTTGCTTCATTTGTGCTACTAGTTTTTATGAGCAGACATGCCCTTGTCAAGCTCAGTGCAGGGGCAAACTCCTTCAGAAAACACTCCTCCAGTATTTTCTTGGTGGTCCCATCCTGGTCACTGATGATGAAGCGGTATTTGGTGGTTGAGCCTGACAGACTAGACATACTCTCTCACCACCTTCACTATGAACACTGCTGAGAAAACAAAACTGCACCAAGTGTGATCTGATCTGTCCACGAAGATTCATAACTGGAAGAGGCTCTGGGAGGAGCCTGGACTTCTCCTTCCTGTGAGGGAAGTGCCAGGAAATTTCTACCAGCCCATCCGCAGTTTCCTGCGATGCATCACCCAACTCCACTTCCTAGTGGACAAAGAAATTTTGGTGGTGCTGGGAAGGACTGAGAACAGTGTTGAGGAGCTTGGACTTGGAGAAGCTGCAGTGCCCCATCTGCATGAAGGAGATGGTTGGCATGGACATGTGCACCCAGCTCTCCTCCTTGAAACCTCTGCCTTCTGGCAGGGGGTGCAGACTTCACCTCTTCACAGTGCCCCTCACGGCCCAGAGCAAGAGAGTTCACTGGTAGGTGTCAAGGGGAGGGAGCAGCAGTGGGAGAGCAAACTGACACACGGCCATTTTGGAGATGAGCTTCTGCTGGAGGAAGCTGTCTGAGGAATGCAAACAGGGGGTGTGAGGAATCACTCCTATCCATCTCAACCAGAGAAAAGAGATCATCAGAAATGACCAGGTCATCTCCATCCACACTTGTTTGTATGCTAGCACTTCTTCCATTTCTCAGGCTCATGCTTCTGGCCATGCCATGCAGACTCATTACTTTTCTCAGAAGATGCCACAGTAAACCTCCTTGGGTCTGAGGCATCTGGTCATTCATGCTTTGCTTAGTGATCTCAAGGATGTCTGTCAACTGCAGCTTCCTGGTCTGGTGCATCTCCAATTCTAGCATTGACAGCAGAGACAGAAGTCTTTCTTCTGTCTGGAAAAAACAAGCACATAAGCAAATCTGAATGTCATTACCATTCACTTGATGTTAGGGTGTAAAAGGAGTCACAGTTTCTGAAGAGAAGTAACAAACCCAGGAAATAAATAGGTCCTGAGAGCAATCCTGGAAGAACAGTCTCTAGGGGACAGACTGAGGACACCTCCGTAAGATTAGTCCTCGAACAGTGGAGGTGCTCAGAGGTGTTACTGTACTTCATTTTACATGTTCTTTAGGTCCTGGGATGCTCTCACTCAGTCTGGTGTTGGCTAGGCTTGGTGTACATCAGAGGAAAATGACGAGGAGACCCTGTTATTGGTGCTGTCAAGTCATGTTACTCATAGCCAAGCTCACCCTAGCTGGAGCCATCTAAGCCTCCTTGTAGAGTAAGTCCTAGTTGTTGATTCTGACAGCCTGGTGCAAAAACTGGGAATGCTGCATGTTCCCAGAATATGTCCTAGTCTTACCCTTGCTGAAAGGTGGCCATGGAGCATGGAGGGGCAGGAAACTCTTTATCTGCTCTGATATCAATTACTAAGTACCTGCAACACATTCTTTCTGGGAGGGATGGCAGCCTTCTTGTACCTATCATAGAGTGTTCAGTCCCAGGGATACCAGCAGGGCTTGTAGACCACCACACACAAGTGCGTGCCCATTCGATGGGACACTGTCGGTGCTTGATGAACAACACTAAGAGCACTGCCCCCATGAGCAGTGTACTGTTGAGGCTTCTGGGCCACTGCCTACAGCACTGAGTCCACTCTCCATGTACTGTTGGGGCTCCAAGACTCTTGCACACGTCAAAGTGCTCAGTCCAAGGCATAATGGCAGAGCTTGTAGAACATCACACACACCAGAGCACTCAGTCCCAGGATTCTGGCAGGCCTTGCAGATGAAGGAACTGAGCAGTGCAAGAGCTGAGCCAAGCACCCCTCTCCCTGGTGCTCCCTCCAGGAGGCCCCTCTTAATTCCAGTGCAAGAGCTGGTGAGAGCAGTATCGGCTTGTCCTTCTCTGACTGTCTTCTTTCCCCCTCCCTCCTCCTACAACTCTTCTTTCCTTCCCTTTAGAAAGAGTCTGAAAGCACAACTCCAACTAGGAACATAATACACAGTGTTACGGTACAGTTAATAACCCTTTCCATAAAACAGACCGTATTGTCCATTTTTCAGGGAAAAGGGGAAAAAGAAGCACTGTGGAGCAGGTTTCACCATGCTGGGAGTAGCCAGACAGCTAGAAAGGCAGGTTCAACCCCAACTTAGTGGAAGTCAAGAAATGGCTTGCTTGTATTTCGTGACAGGGTGGGGTTTGCAAGAGGCTTCCTGAAAATAAACTCTCACTGCATTATTGCTCAGGAGCATCCTGCTACTGTGGGAAGCTCTGAACCACCACCCCAGGCAAGAGACAGCTACAGTTGGGAACCTGATGAAATAAAGCTCATCGCTAAGAGCTGGTGGTAAGGGAAACTGTTCCATGAGGGCCTCCTGCATCATGAGTTCTGTTATTCCAGACAATCACACAACAGAACTGCTTCTCTCAACCAAGTTCCACACTGCAACCCACTGGTTTCATGCCACTTTACATAAAAAAGTTGTTCCAAAGTCATCTAACCATTAGGCAAGAGCCTTCTAACTTGCCAACAGATATGTCTTCATACTTGTTTGCACCTGCACATTCTGGGGTCCCCTCTTACCAGTTCCTTTTGCTGCATCTCTTCCATTCTCAGTTATCCCTAGTGGTCTATGGTCCACAATCCAGCATTCATTTCACAAAGCTAAAAATTCCAACAGACAAGACGACCTTTTTTTCATTAGTTGGATCACTGTTCCCCATTACAGGTTAACAGGTCTTCTCATTTATTCTTATTTGCCTTCAACTCTTCCACTAAGGGCCTATGGGATGCCGCAGGACAACCGCAATAATGCCAGCACCCCAGCCCTTCTGACTGTCCTGGTTTCAGCTGGGATGTAGTTAGCTGTCTTCCTAGTGGCTGGTACAGTGCTATGTTTTGAGTTCAGTATGTGAAGAATGTTGATAACACTGATGTTTTCAGTTGTTGCTCAGTAGTGTTTAGGCTGGAGTCGGGCATTTTTCAGCTTCTCATGCCCAGCCGGGGCACCTGACCCAGACTGGCCGACGGTGTGTTCCATACCATGTGACATCCCATCTAGTTTAGGAACTGGGAAGTGGGGGGGCAGGGATTCGCCGCTTGGGGACTGGCTGGGTGTGGGTCGGCGGGTGGTGAGCAATTGCCCTGCGCATCATTTGTACATTCCAATCCTTTTATTACTACTGTTGTCATTTTATTAGTGTTATCATTATCATTATTAGTTTCTTCTTTTCTGTTCTATTAAATCGTTCTTATCTCAACCCAGGAGCTTTACTTCTTTTCCTGATTTTCTCCCCCATCCCACTGGATGGGGGGGGAGTGAGTGAGCGGCTGCGTGGTGCTTAGTTGCTGGCTGGGGGTAAACCACGACACTGACACATCTTTGAAAGCCTCCCAGCATCATCTGGTGTCACAGATCAGCAACTTGAGCAAGACTGACTCCAGGTATGGCTGGGGCAATAGACAAGCAGCAAGAATGCTGCAGAAATAGAGTGGCTTTGCAAAGTTTGACCATGATTAGTAACTGGTAGCATGGGTGTTAGTGCTTAGTCCAACTGTGTTGTTCCTCATCATTTGAAGGGTATAAGACCCCTGTGTACAAGCACATTTGGGGTGCCCCAGCGTGGCTGGGACACTTTGTGCCCATGAATAAGTATTTACCCTTGTAATTCTACACTTTGCATCTTAGCCTCTCCCATCGGTCGGCACAGGCCAGTTGCAAATTTTTGCAAATTAGCAGGTGTTTCCTTCAGCAGACATGCAGGGATGGAGCTGCAGAGCCCCTGCTGACCCCCCTCCCCTGGAGGACACCACAATGCCCACACAGCCAAGGACCAAGCCTGGGGCTGCCCCCATCACTGCCAGCCCTTCTCTGGGCACCCCATGCCCCCGGCTCCCCTGCCCCACTCCCCAGCGGGCGACAGCCTCGCTTTCCCCAGTGGTAAGTGGGGCCTTACCTGCCGTGGGGGGCTGAGCTGGCTGCTGAGGCCAGGAGCCACCGGGGAGCCCCCCACTGAGTGCAGGGGGTCAGGTCCCACCCTGCTCAGGCAAACACCCAAAGGTGGGTGCAGCTGCACCCCCAAAGTCCCCGCGCGGGGAGCAGTGGGCACTACGGGGCGGGAGGGGAGGCCGAAGGGGCTGGGCAGCCCTGGAGTGGGCAGGGGCCATGGCTGCAGCGCTGGGGCAGGGCAGAGAGCGCAGTGAGCATTGCGCCGATATTTGGCAGGGACACTGAGCGGCAGCGCTGGGGCTCAGCGGGTGGCACCGGTGCCAGTCCTGGAAAGAGAGGCTCGGTGGCTTGGCTCCAGGCCTCGTCCCACTCCACGGGCCAGTGGAGAATGGCTGAAGCTGGTCACAGCGCCTGCCCCCGCACAAGGCCAAGCCAGGTTTTGGGGGTGGAGGAAGGGTTTTGCACTGGCTGGCACAGAGGGCGGGTACCGGCAGTGGGGGATCTTCAGCAGAGGGATGTGCCGCACCGCTGCCCGGACATCTGTTACCAATATGCAGCCATGTTTGTGTTCCTTCACTTCACCGCCATCCATTATATATGGCCAGGATGGATTAGCGGGGCTCAGTTACACATCAGAAATTCCATCGAGGGGCTGGAATACAATCAAGAAGCAGCAGATCACAGCCTTTAAACACTGGTTGCCTGGTGAGGATCCATTACAGATTCAGCCTCTTAATCCCTCCCCGGTCCCGGCACGGGCTGACGGCTGGCACAGAGTGGCTTTCATGGGCACATGAGCCGACACCACCCTGCAATACAGCCACAGTGCCAGAGCAGGTTATGCTGTGCCGGTGGCAGCGCGGCACCGGGCAATATTGGTGGGGACGTAGTACGAAACATGGGAACATGGCCCGGTGGCGGAGGAGCCATGTGTCTCAGGTTAAGCAGACAGATGTTGTGAGTGGTGACACGAGCCACACGCGAGCCCGCTCCCACCTCCTTGCCAGCATGGCGGGCAAGGGCCAGAGCTCTGCCAGCTGCTGGGCCAAGGGGGGATTTTGCCAAAAGCCCTGCAAGGGTTGGATCCTCCTCTAGGTACCAGAAAGCCTCTCACAAATATCCTGCCTCCTGCTCCCCTGGAGTGCCGGGAAAGGACAGAAAGGGCCACCTGGGTGCCCGGCGTGGCCAGGGACCTCTGACGGGAGGATGCTGCTCACAGGGAGCCTTGGGAAGTGGCAAAGAGCCACCTCCTGCTTGCCAGCTTTTTTCAATCTAAATCTCCGTGAGATTTATGTCTTTGCATCCGTCTCCAGGGCAGAAGGCACTGAGAGGCCGTGGTCTCCCTCAGCAGCCTCACCCCATGCTCAGCTGCCCTTGATGGGGCAGACGCAGCCCCCCAGACTCAACACCAACATTTGGGTCCGCTCACTGGGAAGCAAGGTCTGCCAAGGCGGCAGGCAGGTGTGGGCAGCAGCTCAGCCCCAACGCCAGGAGCTCCCCAGCCACCTGGTCTGCAGGAAGGGATGGAGCAGGGCGGCAGCGAGGGCCCGGCACACTGCCACTGCACAGATCTTGGGGACGACCCGGAGTGGGAGGGGGGGGACCTCCGGGTTTCCCTGAAGAAGAGACTCCTGAAATACAAGGCACATCCCAGCTGGGGCCGCTTCTCCCATGCCCGGACAGCCTCCCCACGGGATCACAGCCCTCCACAGCATGGGGTGCGTGGGACCAGGAGAGGAGAGGAGGGTCTCCTCCAAACCTCCATCTCAGCCTCCTTCCTCACCCTGGCCTTCAGGAGAGCAGGCACTGGCCCCTTCGGGGATTTTTCTTGCAAGGGTCCTAGGGGACTATCCCCTTCCCCTTCCCCTTATCTTTCCCCTTCCCCTTCCTCTTCCCCTTCCCCTTCTCCTTCCCCTTTCTCTTTCCCTTTCCCTTCCATTTCCAGGGGTGCATCCCCTTCCCCACTTCCAGGGCCATATCCCTCCCACTCCCCCAGTTCTGCAGCAATGAGCAAAGCGGCATGGAAGAAACCAGGCATGGCCCCTCTCAGCATCCCCGGTGGCTTTATTTCAGAGGGACCCCGGGGGGTCCCGGCTGGCCCACTCAGAGCGGAGCCAGGGGAGGCGGTGCGCATGGTCCCCTGAGCGCGGCTCTTCCTCCTGCACCCTCCGCAGCCACGATGGGTCTTCACTGGCTGCCGGCGAGTAGCGGAGCTGGCTGTGCCCATTGCTGTCCCACTGCCCAGACAGGCTCTGGACACACTGGCGGGGCATGGGGGGCTGCAATCCCCATGCGCAGCAGAGAATCTCCGGTGCTGGGGCCCTCCGGGGCCCCGCTGCTGCTGCTGCTGCTGCTGCTGACGCCCCTGCCGCTGCAGCCCCGGCCCCGCATACAGATGGAAATGGCCATGGGGATGGAGGGTAACCCCAGCATGGTCGTCCTCCACCAGCAGGCAGTGGATGACCACGATGGGCTGTCGGCAGAGCGGGCAGGTGGCAGCGACGGCAGTGGCAGCCCGGTGCTGGGTGCAGGCATGGCAGAATGCATGCCAGCACGGGTCCATGCCAGCGGGGTCTTCAAGGGGACCCAAACAGATGGGGCAGGTGTCCTCCTGCCAGGACCTCATGGCGGGTCCTGGCACCAGCGGCTCATGCCTGGGCCCCTCCGGGGCTGCTGCCGCCAGGACTTGGTGTCCTGTCAGCTGCTGCTGGGACTTGATGGGTGCCGCTGGTGGGATTCGGTGGCTCCTTGGCTGCTGGCAGGTCACGTCTGGTGTGCTGTTGGCAGGACCCAATGGCTCAGGTGCTGCCCACAGGACTCAACGTCTCATGTGCCGCTGGCAGTACGTGACGCTGGCATGTACCATTGCCCACCACAAGTGATGTCATGGCATGACTGTGGCTCTCTGGTGACATCACTAGGCGCTCAGGGGCACACCCAGGAGCTCTCCCAGCCTCAGAGACACAACCTGTGATGCAAAACCCATCTGGCAGCATGCTTCATGCCTCTGCATTTGCTCAGGCCCCTTTCAGGCAGTCCCTGTTGTTGTTGGTTGTTGCACCAGCATACACACTCACAGAGTGGTTGGGGTTTTCAGGGACGTCCAGGGCTCATCCTGTCCAAGCCCCTGCTGAAGGAGGGCCACCCTGAGCCAGACGGACCCTGGGCACCACTGAAAAGAGCCAGGCTCCATCTTCTTTGCACTCTCTCTTCAGATATTGATATATATGGAGAAGATCCCCCCAGCCTTCTCTTCTCCAGGCTGAACAGTCCCATCTCTCCATCGCTCCTCACGCTCCAGTCCCTTCCCCATCTTGGTGGCCCTTTGCTGGAGTCTCTCCAGTCTGTCCCTGTCTCTCTTGTGCTGGGGAGCCCAGCAACAGACACAGCACTCCAGCAGTGGCCTCACCAGTGCTGATCCCCTCCCTTGACCTGCTTGGCAGTGCTCCTCCTTGCGCAGCCCAGGACACCGCTGGCCTCCTTTGCTGCCTCAACTTCAACGTGGTGTCCATCAGGACCTTCTCTGCAGAGCTGCTTTCCAGCTGGGTGCCCCCAGCATGTCCTGGTGCCTGGGACTGTTCCTCCCCAGGGGCAGGATTTTGCGTGTCCCTTGGCTGAACTTCAGGAGGTTCCTGTCAGCCCATTTCTCCAGCCTGTCAAGGTCCCTCTGGGTGGCAGTGCGATCACCTGGTGTCTCAGCCACTCCTCCCAGCCCTGTATAGAACTGTGACTGATTTTGTTGGTTTGGTTTCTACATTTTGGCTAGCAAATAAAAGCAGAGGAAGGAAATCAAGGGAACAAGGCGTTGCATACCTCTCATTCCTTTAATTTGCAAAACCTACTTAGTGTTTTACTTCTAGTTGGTCCTACAGAGCAGCCAGTGCGGGACTGCTGAAACCTGGGAGCCTCCCCTGGGTGCATGACTATGCCCTTGCAGAAGCACCGCTCCTGAAATCACAGAGCCTGCCTTAGTTGAGAGAAGAAAGTAAGAGGGACTGGGAAGAGATTTCTATTTTCTTTTACAAATGGTGCTTGGGGAGCATATTTCCCCACACTGCTGGAGAACCCACAGTGTGATAAAGGAGGCCAGGAGGGAGCCGGTCAGGGTACCCCCCAGGGAAGAGAAGCAGTGTCTGGATGAGGAATGACCCCACCAACCCAGCAGTCAGGGCACTGGCTGCAGCCCCAGCCCTTTTGGTCCCCACTCTCTGCCAAGGGCAGAGAGTTACTTTTTTCATTGGGAAAACAGTTCATTGTCCTGCTCTGCCCACTTTGATAAGGAAGTCACAGGTGACTTCTTCCTCATTTTTGCTGCTCAACAGCTGATAATACCTGTCAAACCAAATCATGTGCTTTTGGGCGGTTCCTCCATCTGAACAACATTCACTGTTAGAAGAAGCACATGGGAGGCTATATCTGAAGTTCTCATCCACATCTTGACACAGAATGCAATACCTAGTCCTTTTTCACTTGGGCTTGAAGCCCTCAGTTCATCTGTCACAATCTGAGCATTAGCCCTCGTGTATCTCTTTCTCTTGCTGATTCTGCAGAATCTGTTGTGTTGCTTGCATACTTCACTGTGAAATTCAAAAGCAAGTATTGTGTTGCTGTACTTTCCAGCCTGACTGACAGTCCCAGAGAGAGAGTACAAGGGTGTGCTGCTGCTGTTATGGCTGGCCCACGCTGGCAGATGTCAACTTTGCTTGCTGCATGTGACACAACCCACACAGTGTTGAGGGCTCTTGTAACACCCTAAACTCCCCAGTGAAAGTCTACCGGGGGCCGCACCCTCCTTGCACTTGCTTGTGCCCATATGTTCCTAGCTACAAGGCTAGGGAGGGTCACTTGTCGAGACTTCTGCCTGCTTTGGGGTTGAGTACATGCTTGGAGAACGTGGGGCATGAAACTTCTCCTTCCCAAAGCACAGAAGGGAAATAAGACACAAGTACAGAAGAGGTAGGAGGCATTTTCTGCATGCCCAGTTGCCTCCACATTCCTGGATAATCATATTTGTTTATGGGAAATTTGGTCTTCTTACATCAACTTTGGCAGTAGTTGAGGTAATGGGAAGACAGCAAAAAGAATAGAAGGGACATTAGGATCTGGAATTGCTCTTTCATTAGCAATTGTACTTTCTTACACAGCACTATGAGTTCATGCCATGCATTAAAGAGCATGGCATCTCTGCCATTAGCATGAGCTCATACTGAGTTGATTGCTGGACTTAAAGCTATGTTCATGAGTACTGTTACTTGCTATTTAACACAACAGGTGAAGAGGTAAGATTTTCTATACTGGTCTTGAAGCACCTCTCTGCCTTATTCGACGAAATTGTCAATGGTACAAATACAGAGAAATCTTCATCAAGATCATACTTGCTAGGTGATGTACCTTAACTGAGCACAGAAACAGAGCAGATTAGAGAAAAAATGCACCTATCTTAGCATCCTATCTCCAACAGTGGCCAATACAAGACACTTAAGGGACAGCTTAATAACAAAGCAGTATTCCGTTGCTGTGATATTGTCCTGCCAGCTTTCAGCAATCTCTGGTAGATCAGAGCCTGCCTCAAGTAATTAAATATTAAACAGATTGTTTTCCTGGGAAATTGAGACACCCAGAAATGTAACATATCTTCTCCAACGGCTTGCAAAGAAAACTGAGAATCACATCCAGTGCCTTAGAGAAAGTAACAGTCTGTGAAAACTTGTACTTTCCTTTAAAGAAATCCACAAGGAGAGTCGCCGTGCTGGTTTTTGGGGGGGCAGACAGTATCTGTGTCACAGGAAAGGGATCTGCTAATGTTAAGCCAAAGAAACCTATCCCTACTATGTAGGGCCAAACCTACTCTGTGTTTCTCTATCACTTCGCACAGTAGGTTCCCAACATGGTTAACTGCTAGGATTGGCTTCTAATGGGCAAGATTTCTCAGGAGTCATTTGCAGAATTGTCAGGGAAGGGCTTGCCTCATTTATCAATTTTCTAGATTAACCATTCCCAGTGGACACAATACAGGGTAAAGAATGGGGACAATTCTAAATAAGAGGACGCAAATATTTCAGAGTGGTTGGAGAGCTCTGACTACTAAAGAAGAGTAGCTGGGGCCTTAAGAACTTTTAGCTTTACCAAAGATCAAACAAGATTAACTTTAATCTGAAAAGCTGTATAAAACTATCTGTCCCACCATCTGAGTCTCTATTGATTCCCTCCAGACTTTTCAAAACTTTGATATTGCAGGCTGATTCTTCTCCAACTGCACACACATAAACCTCCAGCTGTGTTAGTCTCTAATTCTGACTTGGGTAAGAAAAGGTGAACATCATTATTTATCCCTGAATGAAATAGGTATATACTTTCTCTGCAAAGCTGGACTTCTCTACCTGGCAATGGAAAATGACAAAAAAAAACCAAAACCAAAACCCAAAACAACCACATTGGGTTCTTTGTTTCAGGCCACCTAACACATTTTTCATTTTGATTCCATTCTATGAGCCTACACACCCTCACGCACATGTGTGCACACCCACTCCCTCTTTTTATCCAACTGTCACTATCCAGTGTTGCAAGACGCTGACCTTCCATGGTATCCACGGTCTGCTCTTTCCGGTTCACTGCCTTTGTTGATCTGCCATCATAGCCAGCATAAATCCTCTCTTCTTTAGAGAATATCCATCATCAAAGAATTAATGCTGTCATGCATCATTCTCATGAATTGGTAAGAGTGAGGTCTGTGCATGACAGACTCCAGAAGTTCCTGCAAGATGCAGATGAAGTGAATACTCCAGTTAAGATAGTACCACATAAATTAGCTGATCAGCTTTTATTCAAAAGCTTTTATTTCAGCTTTTATTCAGTTATTGCAGCCTGTTTGAGAGAGGTTTTATCAACTGGAACACTGCACTGAGGTTGGGTGCTGTGTACTGCCAGTTTCTAACCCAGTCTCCACAAAAAAGGATTTTTTTCTTTATGGAGCCACATGTGTCTGCCAGGCCACTCACCACAGCCCTGAAGGGGCTGAGTATTACCGGCGTGGTTGGATCCTGGTAACTGGACAGACTGAGACTGAGAAAACAAGACACAGCAACGGTTGGAAACTTATCAGAGTTAACAGGAGTGTGGATAGGAAACACAAAGCTTTACGCTTTATAAACAAGCGTAAACCCTGTGCTGTAGTAAAACATCCACTGGAGGGTGTGCGTGCACACAGAATTCAATTGATGCTTCCTACCCAGGAGGACAGCATTACTGAGAAAGGTACAAGGAGAGCTTTGTT